TAAATAAATAAATAAATAAATAAATAAAATCTAAAAAAAAAAAGAATGGCCGGGGAATCCAGCGTTGCGACAAGCTCCCCGGGGAGCCGAGCGCACAGCCAGTTGGGGAACCTCGGGCGAGCGGCACAGAGGAGGCCCTCGATGGATACGCAGGTCTCCTCGCCACCTTCTACCAGGTGGAACCCCCAGATGCAGGTTATTACCGCAGCACAGCCTGGCCTGGCCTAATACTCTGTGGGAACTGGAAAACCTCTCAGGATCCTTCCAGAGGGCTTTCCGTGGCTCTCTGACCCAAGGGCCCAGGACTGGCCTGGGTACCTGGTGGCAGGTGATGAGCAGGGCCGTCCAGACGAAGAACCCGGAGATGGCCTGCGCCGCGGTTGTCATCAGGAACACGGGCTGCTCCATGGCCGTGGGGCTGCCCTCAGGGATCACAGACACACTGGGTGACGCTGCCATGGTCGTGGGCGACGCTGGATCCGGGGCCAGTGCGGCCCCCCTCACCGTCATGGTGCCTGGCAGCCAGGGGTCCCTGAGACAAACCCTTGCGGTAAGCGATGAGCTGGCCTAAAGAGAAGAAACCACAGCATTAGCCTCCTTCCCGGGCGAGTGGCAGCGTGGCAAACAATCTTCTGGGCCTCTACATCCACCTTCAGATTGTAACTGGACACTGACCACGTGTGTCCCGGCCCAGCCGCTATGAAGGTCCCAGCCCCTACCGTGTCTCCCCTGGATTTGTGAAACAGGCGCCTGAGCGGTCTCTCTGCTTCTGCCTTGGCCCCTATTGTCCAGTCCCCACAGGGAAGCCACACAAGGCTTCTAGGACGTTCGCCAGACTGGGCCCCCCTCTGCTCAAAGCTCCCCAGTCGCTGCCAGCTGGTTCGAAGTATAAGCTGCTGTCCGTACAATGGCCCACAAGACTGCCCGGCGGCTCCCCGCGGCTCTCGTCTCCCACGATTCCCACCAGGAGCCTCCACTCTGACCACGCGGACCTCCTGCAGCTCCTCCATCTCGCCCCGCCTGCTCCTGCCCCCGGGCCTCTGCACCCCTGCACAGGCTGTCGGCCACACGGTTCACGTCTACACTTCCCTCAGGTCTCTGCCCGGATCACCCGCTCCCGCAAGATGACACCGCCCCCGCCCCGGGCACTCCCGACCCCACCGCTCTGGGGCTTTTCCCCACAGCGCTCCTTCCCGCCTGACTCCCTCTGGCAAAGTGTATGTTTACTCATATATTTACTAACTGCCTCCTTCACCAGAACATAAGCTCCCTGAGGGCCAGGGGGCTCCGCTTTGCTCACAGCACCGGTCACACAGCAGGTGCTCAGCAAACACCTGCTGGGTCTGCGCATCTCCACACTTCCCCATCGAGCAAGACCACTTTGTCGCTTTCTCTCTTCAGAGGGCTGTGCCTTTTCTTTCCCGTTTCTCCCCAACTTCCCTGAGGGCTGGCCCCCGTTCTTCATCTTCCATCTGTGCTGTTCTGGAGACTCTGTGGCCCACACCTTCAAACTGCTCTTTTAATTCAGTTTTCTGTATCCCTCTTCCTAAAATCCTGCCCCCTACGCTTCCCCCAAGCAGAGACTTCTATCCACATCACACGCCGCTGTGCTTCTATGTGACAGGTGGCTCTGTCCCTTGCTCGTGTGTTTATCTGCCGGAGGCTGTCCGCTCTCTGAGGCAAGACCGCATTTCTGTTTTTCAATCCCCAGCACCAAGCTCAGCACCAAAGCCATTTATAATACTTTGTTACCTATTGATTTTCAGTCCTTATTTAAAAAATCAGAGGTATTTTACAGAGAAGCACACAGAGATGAGGAAACTGGCATACAGAGATTCTGGGTGGGAAAATAACAATGAGAGCGGGTGGGACACAGGCTGGCCTTCTAGGGTCCTAGGGTCCCATCCAGTTGCCCCACGCAGGCTCTCTGTCCACTGCTTTTCCCAATGGCAACTTCAAGAGCCATGGTTAACAAATGAACAATTTCACATTAAAAATTAACCCAGATGCCCCCATGGAAGAGCTGCTGTCAAGGTAGTAAAGCGACTCCTGGGAGGCTGGTCACTGCTGTGCCCAAGGCCATCCGAGCCCCACGGCCCTGACAGGTGTCCCTTTCAGTTCTGCCAGCTATCAACGGGCTGGTCAGCACCACCCCGGAGCCTCTGGTCACCCTTCGGCAGAGGCTCTGGGAGACTAAGCTGCAGGGTGACCAGAGGATCCGCTGACTGAGGCAGAGAGTGTGGACACCGGGGAGGGTGCTCTGGCCGCAGCCCAGGTCCGAGCTCCACCACCAACCAGCCGTGTGTCCCCCACACAGTTCTGCTGGGCCCTGGAGGGTCTCTGCCAGAAAAACAGCCAAGCCTCCAAACCTGACCATCTCAGCCTGAGCCCAAGGTCAGACCAGATGACCTCTCACGGTCCCTTCCAAGTCCCAGATGATATTCTCAGCCAGAACATACTGGCTTCTGGGGTGCACCCAGGCCTACAGCCTGACCCTGGATGAAGAGGCTCTTTGCCTACTGTGTCCCCAAGTTCCTGGCTTTGCCCCCGGCCCGCCTCTCATGTCTCCAGCATCCCCTGTCCCCATCTGCACATCTGCTCTTAGCTGTAAGTTTTGACCCTAGGAAAGCCCTTTGCATTTCTATTTTCCTGTGAAAATAAATGATCTCTAACACACTGACCAAGGGATGAAACTAGATTTAAAATCCAAAGTGGAGAAGGCATCTATATAAAGAAACTCAAAACTGGAGAAGGTGTCTATATAAAGACTGGTGGCGAGCTCCGAGAAAGAACCAGTGACAAGTCTAAGAATAGCTCCTGTAAGGATGGTTGCAAAATTGGAAACCAGTGCCAGAAATACTTCTTTAAAAAAGAAGATTTGGGTTGTAAATCATCATCTTTGTCTATCATCCCAAATTAAATGAATAAACACAGGGAATTGGGGCGGGGGGGCCTAGAGGAAATACAAATCCTCCTAAATCTCCAGCTTCCAAGCACAGGCAGGCCGGTGTGTCAAAGGCTGTTTTGTTGGCCACTGAAGGCAGCGTTGGGAGGCCCGGCCCAGGGGCACCGCTGAGCTGACCCTGCCCACGGGGAGGGGACCTGCGCCCAGGAGGCTCCTTGGCTGTGGAAGCTGGGTGAAGGCTAGAGGCCCGGCTTCTTCCTAGGGCTCTGCTCACTGCCACTCAAGCGCCACGCCCCCCCCAAGCCCAGAGAGACACTGGCATGCAGAGTTCTCTCGCATTTTCCCCATGTAGGTCAATTAGCTTACAGGCAAGAGAGCCATTCAGAGAGGGTGGGTGACTTGCCCCCGAAATCAGGGATGGGACTCGAACTCAGGTCCTATAAACACATTGTCAGCCCCGCGCGAGCGGCCCCTCCGGCTCCAGAGCCTCCTTCCAAGAGCCAGTCCTGTCCTGGCAGGCCCGAGACCCTCGTTGCAGAAAGGGGAGGGAGGTCCTCTGCAGGGAGGGGCAGCCGATGCTGGAAGGGCTCTCCAGCCTGACAGTGCTCGCCAGGCTTCTGGGTTTACTAGCTCTTTACCTGACTCCGGGCAGCGCTCCTGGCTTACACACTGTTTTCCCAAGCATCATCCCATGTTTTTTTTACACAGCAACTTTGAACTAAGTAATATTAACTGCATCCGAGAGATGAGGAAAATGATGTGGAGATTGGTTTTACCACCCCCCAGGTAACACCAAATGATTCGAGGGTTTTCATAATACCCCCCCAAAATACGTGAAGCAACATTCTGACTCATGGACGCGCGGCCCCTGGCATGAAAGAACAGCAGGTGAGGACAGCATCTCCGAGGCCGTCGATCCCAGGGGCTTGCCTTGCTCCCAGGGCCCAGGGCAGCACACAATGCTGGACCCTGCCGACTGTTCACAGCCTGTGTGCTGGGGGCGGGGGATGGACACTGGGGTCCTGCCCTCTCACCCTTGGGCGGCATCGACGGCCTTGGCCAAGGCTGGGGGGAAGGTCAGGGAAGGCTTCAAAGTGGCAGGGACTTTGGGACAGAGTGTTTAAGTAGCATAACCAGGCTTCAGCTTTGAGGCCACCCAATAGGATTCCTGCCAGACCCCACCATCTGCTAGCTTGGACAAGTGACTTCATCTCTAAGAACCTCAGTTTCCCCATCTATAATACCTCAGGGTAACTACAGAATGGCTGAGGGCGTGTTCTACTTTACAGAAGTCCTGTTAATGAATAGACAGAATAATAAAATAATAGAATAAGAATGATCATTTTGCAACTCCTAATACAAATACTGGACATAGATATCGATATGATAAAACCCCTAGCCAACAGGCAGTCTGGGCAAGTCCAACTCTGAACGCACAGTCAAGATCACCAACATGGGGCTGCGAGAAGTTTCCAGCCTCCTGATGGGATGCACATGGCACCACCTAAGAAGGACTCTTGCCCAAAAAGTGAAATGGGATCAAAACGAGCCTCCAGAGCTACTACCGGTAGCCGGGAAATATAGAGGGTAGTGGGACAGACTAAATGATATCATGAGGACGCAGCAGCCGAATCTAGACTACAGGACAGTCTATAGGACAAACGACCTAGTTTCACCAACAAATCAGTGGCTTATAAACGAAGGTGCTTGAGGGGCTGTTACAGAATAAAGACTTGAGAGACACAACTAAACGCAACATGTGGACTTTGTTGGGTCCTGATGCTAACAAACCAATGATGAAAAGACATCCTTGAGATAGATAACACACAGGAATTCTTGTCAGTTTCATTAGGCGTGATCATGGCATGGCGGGTACATAAATGTCCTTATCAATGGAGGAAGAATCATCTTTTCGGTAAACAGTACTGGAACAACTGGACATCCAGAGGCAAAAAAGAATGAACCTTAACCTACACCTTCACACCATATACAAAATTTAATTCTAAATGGATCACAGATTTAAATGTAAAATGCAAGACTATAAACTTTTAGAAGACACATACCTAACAAATGGCGAGCATCAGAGTACAGCAAGAATGCTCAAGCTCAACCGTAAAAAGATAATACAATTAGGGGCGCCTGGGTGGCTCAGTTGGTTAAGCAACTGCCTTTGGCTCAGGTCATGATCCTGGAGTCCCGGGATCGAGTCCCGTATCGGACTCCCTGCTCAGCGGGGAGTCTGCTTCTCCCTCTGATCCTCCCCCTCTCATGCTCTCTGTCTCCCATTCTCTCTCTCAGATAAATAAATAAAAAATCTTTTAAAAAAAAAAAGATAATACAATTAGAAAATGGGCAAAAGACATGAATGGACATTCCACTCAAGAAGGATACATGGACAATAAACACATAAACAGCAGTTCAACATTGTTAGCAATTAGGGAAATGCAAACTAAAACCACAAGACATCACTATATACATATCAATACAAAATAGAGACAATATCAAAAGCTGGCAAAGGTGCAGGGAAACTGGCTCTTGCGTTCATTCCTGGTAGGAATATAAAATGGTAAGCCACTCTGGAAAACAGTTTGGTACTTTCTTACAAAACTAACACAGCATTTACCATACAACCCAGTAATCACTCTTAGACGTTTATCCTACAGAAATGAAAACATATGCTCACACAAAACCCTATATACTTAAAGTTGTCCACCGCAGCTGTATTTGTAATTGCCAAAACCTGGAAACAATCAACATGTCCTTCAACAGGCAAAAGGTTAAACTCCAGTACGTCCAGATCATGGACTACTACTCAGCAATAAAAAGCAACAAACTATTGATACAGGCAGAAATCTGGACGGAGCTCAAGGGCATTCCGTTGAGTGAGAATAGCCAATTGCAAAAGGTCACATACTGTTTGGTTCTGTTTATATATAACATTCTCAAAATGGCAAATCTATAAAGATGCGGAACAGATTGGTGGTTGGCAGAGGACAGCAAGGAAGGGGTGTGCACAGAGAGAGAACAGCACGGGGCCTTCCCTCCAGGTGACGAGCTCCCTTGTATCTTTTTTTTTTTTTTTAATTTTATTTATTTATTTGACAAGAGAGATAGAGAGAGAGCACAAGTAGGCAGAGAGAGAGGGAGAAGCAGACTCTCCACTGAGCAGGGAGCCCGACGCGGGGCTCGATCCCAGGAACCTGGGATCATGACCTGAGCCGAAGGCAGCCGCTCAACCGACTGAGCCACCCAGGCGCCCCGGCTCCCTTGTATCTCGATGGTGGTGGCTACATGAGTCTACAGGTGATAAAACTGTACAGAGCCCCCTCCCCCCCTCCAAGGACAGTGAAAACTGAATAAGGTCTGTAGTCTAGTTAATAGTACTGTACTAATGTCCACTTCTGGTTTTGATCATGGTCCTATAACAATTCGAGATGTCACCATTAAGAACAGGGCACATGGGACTTGGAGTACTATTTTTGCAACTTCCTGTGAACCTATAATTATTTCAAAATAAAACAAGTTTTTTTTTAAAGATTTTATTTATTTAAGAGAGAGCATGAGCAGGGGTGGGGGAGGGTAAAGGAAGAGGGACAAGCAGACTCCCTGCTGAGCAAGGAGCCCACCGAGGGCTCGAGCCCAAGACCCTGAAGATCATGACCTGAGCCAAAGTCAGAAGCTTAACCGACTGAATCACACAGGTGCCCCAAAACAAGTTTTTTTTTTTTTTAAGTCCTTATCAAATAGAGATGCATACTGGATTATTTAAGGGTGAAAAATAACATGACTTCTGGGATTTAAAAGGGGGAGAGGGACTGAGGCAGCAAGACTATAGGACATTCCTTGCTGTTGAAGCTGAGTGACTACAGGCAGAAATCCGTTCTATTATTTGCTCTACTTCTGTATGTTTGAAATTTTCCTTAGTAAAAAGCTTTAGACAGTAGAACAGAATTTTCCACAAAATTTGTAATGAGATGGGCAGTGACTCAGGAAACTGTCTGTTTCAGAGATCTACTGGTTATCTTCTAGAAAAGCAATCAGAAAGACCTGTCAAAGCTAACAACTTAGTTCAACACATCTTCCTTTCATAAAAAAAACTTCCGCATTTGTCCATGTTTTTCTATGAATACTGGCTTCCCAGCTAAGTTTTTGAAACACCTTTAAGCGTGTTTAGTATGTCCCTTCATGGGAAAGGCGTGTTATCACAACAAATGAGAAAAGAACTGCTCTTTTAGAAGACACTGAGGCCGGCGAAGCATTCTGGAAAAGTATATTCGGAAATGTGGGAAATGTTTCTACTGTCATAGGATTTTGTTACCAAAAACAATATAAGTCTGTAACTTACAAAATCTCTCGTGTCTGAACTCCTAAAAACCTACATAACAGAATTTGCTAATCTGCTCAAAAATTTCCAAAGCATTTGAGTGGGTTTTGGACTCATGTGTTAAGAACTTTAAAATAAAATACCTTCCATTTAGTTGACAAAAACATCTGATTGGCATCAGGAAGGATGGAAATGTACTAGCCAAATTTCAACAAATCCTCCACATACGCAGTGGACAGGATGGAAAAATGAGTAACCCAATTTAGTAAGAAAGCCAGTGATGCGTTTCCTCCGTGTGCAGCTACGTGTCTCAGGCAGGGATCTTTCTCAGAGAGGTCAGCCATTAAAACCAGATAGCTACGCAGACTGAACATAGAGCCAGACCATCCAACTGCTCGCTCAGAGAGCATGAAAGCAAACTTTCCAAAAATAATCAAGCATATGAAAGCAGAAGGCTTTTGTACCACCACCAAAATAAAATTAAAAAAAAAAAATTAAGTATTACATCTTTAGCTCATCCTTTGATTCCTATTTTTGGTTTAGGTTTTATGATCTACATGGTCGAACAGTAAGGTAATACTTGTATATAGCAACATGCAGGTATTGGGGGTACACACCCAAAAAGTTTTTTTTACTGCTAGGGATGCAGCCAGTCACTGACAGGGCTCCCTCTTCCCTCTGAGGCCTCTGCACCTCTGTGCTTGTGCCTCCCCCGGTGTCGGGCCCGCTCCCTCCATCCGAGGCTGAGGCAGACACAAAGCACAGTCAAGGCCTGGTTCCGCCTCCCTCCCAGTGGCCCACCTGCCGGCCAGGCGGCTCCACACCTGGGTCCTCACTTGCACGCCAACCCGAAGGCTGTGAAGAAGCCAGGCCACAGTCCATACTTTGTCCCAGGCCCTGGGACAGTCAGGGAAACTGCTGGAATCCCAGGGCTCCCACCTGGCTGTGACTGGGCAGGTGCCTGGGTGTCTCTGAACTTGTTTCGCAGGCGCACCGTGCCCATCTTGGGCCCAGTGAGTTTAGGAACTCAGAGTTTTCCCGATTTACAAAGGATTACAGTGCTGTATATGGTGTGCAGAGTGACTCCCCCAGAGGAATGTGGGCAGCACCCAAAAATCAAATACATAGTATTTCCATAGAGAAACATGAGATATTTTTAAAGAACATAATTAGTCTCACATCAATTCAGGTCAGATTTTTGCTACGAAATTAGTTTGCTGCAGGCTTGAAAGAACCTTTGGGATTTCGAGCGTTCTGGATTCCAGAAAGGTGGGGGCCTGGGCCGCCCTCCAGCACTGCAGGGAGGCTGATGCTCGAAGAAGCAGGAATCCAGCGTGGTCTACTTCTTACCTTATTTTCAGATGTGACCATGTCCCTCCTCCTGAGCTGAGATCCTTTGAGGATGTGTCAGGATCTGACGGTGGGTGGAGTGCAGTTCTGACCCCTCTGTGGAGAAGCCAGGGCCCTGGGCAGCTGGGTGCCAGCCTCGCCCCCACCCAGCCCCCCACCGCCTCCTCCCCAAGGGTCCCTGCAAACTGGTGGCCCCTGCCTCTGTGCCAAGTTGCCATCCCCTCTGCCCTGGTCCTTGTGGGGAGAGCCAACTCTTCACTCCCAAGTCATCCTCAGCATCATGGCCTCACCTGGGGGCCAGCCCACTCCCACTCAGCCACCCTGAGCTCACTCCACAGCACTAAAAGGTCAGCTGGGACGCTGTTCTTGTCTCCCCACACCTGAGTCATCTGACACAGTGTCAGACACATAGTAGGGGGGATGTGGAAGAGAAGAATCCACCAATGCGCTCACTGTCTGGCATTAAGCCACCAGCTGCAGACCACAGGCTTTCCATCACTTAGCCCCTCCCCACCATGGACAATTGCCAGAGCTTGGCTGAAGGACTTGGACCTTTGGCTGGAGTGAGGGATAGGCTGGCTGAGGGCAGAGGATGGAGGCTGCATCACACTGCCTCACACCCATCTTCCAAAGTGGACAGGCCACGCCAAGGAGGGCAAAGGGACTTGTTCAATGAGCTCCAACAGGATACAACCCAGTCCACCTGGTGGCAGCAACCGGAAGATGAGTCTGCCAAGATGGAGATGTTTTTACAACTGGAACGATCTAGCAACATTCTGTTGCTTTGAGAATAAGGAAGCTCCCAATCAACTGAGGCTAGAAGTCCCCTGGGGCAGGAACACAGACTGAGCAACCTCCGTTGGGTAGTTTACGCTTACCTACCTTCTCCCCAACTAGCCTGCAACCTCTTGGAGGTCAGAGGTCATGCCTTATGCCCTGGCAGTGGTCTCAGGGCCTGGACACAGTTCACCCTCAATGTGCTTTGACTGGATAAGGGAACAACTGAATGAGTGTCTGCCCTTTGCAGTTCCTTCCAACTCTGAACGTCTGTGATGCCCTCCATCACCACCTTGCCAACCCTGGGGAGTGGAACGTTCTCTTGCTCCCACCCACAGATCTTTGTCCCCATCAGCCTCAGCAGATATCACCTTCTATGACCTATCACAGTTTGCTCAAGGCATGTCTTCCCTGGTCTTCCAGAGCATTTACCACCCTGTGATTAGATCTGTTCCCTTAACGCACTGTGAATTGGACTCCATGAGGGCAGGGATCAGGTGCCATGTGGAAAAAGTATTTACTGACTGATTGCTTAGGGGACAGAGGGAAAAACATGAACAGAGGCATGGAGACAGTATGTGGACAGGCACTCGGCCAAGAATGTGCCCAGAGAAGAATTTCTGCATCTGGTCCCTGTTAAAGATGGGGGGCGGGGCAGCCTGATTGACAGACCACCTGTGGCTCTCTAGATTGACAAGGCCCTCCTGACAGCCCTGTGTGGTGGGTCTTGTTGCAGCTGGAGCATCCAGGCTGGGGTACAGTACCCTGGGAGGCCACAGGGAGCAATGGAACGCAGAGCCCCGCTGGGTCACCAAGGTACAGGGCTGGATGGAACTCACCTTGTGGGTCAGAAAGCCAGGTTCAGGGGAGAAAAGGAAGGAGTGACAGTTTATAAATGTCCTCTTCATCCCCAATCAGGGGTCCAGGCAAGGTGAACCAGTTGCCAGAAGGGTGCTTGAGGGCACAGAACCAGAGTATAGAGAAGTGGGGGTGGGGGAGGCTCTTGAGTAAAATCCAGGCAGCCCTGGCAAGGCCGAATGAACTAAGCCAAGCCCTAGAAAAGCACCCAGAGTGCCCCGAATGCTCACTTCCCCTAAGACAGCACCTACCCCCATCCTTCCCTAAACAAGACAGCTTCTGGCTAACTCCCTCCTGAAAACACCCATCTCTTCCAGAAGAGCTACAAAGCTATGTGCAAGCTCGGTCACCTGCCTTGGAAGATAGAGGTTTCAGAGAACACCTCACCATCTCAGAGTCCTTTTCACTTCATGTTGGGGGGATACCTTGCTGTTAACCGCCCCCCGATTTCCTGTGTCAAAGACTGAATAATGTACCCCCGCAAACACGTCACATCCAAACCGCCGAACCCGGGAATATTTTGCCTGACATGGCAAAAGGGGCTTTGCAGATGTGACTACATTAAGGTCACCGAGAGGGTCCCAGATTATCTGGGTAGGCCGGATATAATCACAAGGGCCCTCATGAGAGGGAGGCAGGGGGATGAGGGTGTGAAGGGGGCAGTGTGACAACGGGAACAGCGAGGAGAGACTGGAAGGTGCCAGGCTGCTGGCTCTGAGGATGGAGGAAGGGGCCCTGAGCCAAAGAATGCAAGTGGCCTCTAGAAGCTTGAAAAAACAAGGAAACAGATTCTCCCGAAGGAGCACAGCCCTGCCAACACCCCGATTTTGGCTCAGCGAAATACATTTTGGACTTGTGACCTCAAAACTATAGAATGATAAATTTTTGTCACTAAGTCACTACGTTTCCGGCAGTTTGTTGCAGAAGCCATAGGAAAGCAATGCATGCAGTTTCCAGATGGGGAAACGGAGGCTTGGGGGGCTACTGCGGTTTGCCCACAGCCCCCTGTAAATGGCTCCAGCCGTGGGCCCCGCCACTGACTAGCTCTGCGTCCTCGGCCAAGTTACATAAGCGCTCCTTGCTTCAGCTTCCCCAGCTGTGCAATGGGGTTGCAGTCACTCGAGCCTGGGACAGAGCTGCGAGGAGCAAACGGGGTGATGCGCCAGGCACGGCCCTGTGTGAGCTGATCTATCCCAATTCCTCTCCTGCCTTAGAGCCACTCCATCCGTCGGTCAGGCTGGCGGTTCACAGGCCCGGCAGTCTCTGAGCCCTAGGTCTGTCCTGTCTCTGCTTGTTTGCTCTTTTTTAAACCTTCTGAGGTCATATTTTCATTCATCAGTTTCAGATCCAAGCCCTTTTGAGCTGCGGCCATGAAGCGCTCACTCAGGCGGTTGCCACACACCCACAGGCCGAGCAATGCTGGCAACCTGTTCGCACGCACGTCTCCAGAATATTAACGCAGACTGAGAGGGATTTGGGTTGAATAGATTTAATTTTTAAAAAGATATATATGGAAGGGGCGCCTGGGTGGCTCCATCGATTAAGCGTCTACCTTCGGCTCAGGTCATGACCCCTGGGGTCCTGGGATCAAGCCCCGCGTGGGGATCCCTGCTCAGCGGGGAGTCTGCTTCTCCCTCTGCCCCTCACCCTGCTCACGCTCACACGTGCTCACTCACTCTCTCTCTCTCTCTCAAATAGATAAATAAAATCTTAAAGAAAAAAAGAAAAATATATATGTAAAACTTTCCATCTTAACATAGCTCACCAGGTAGAATCTGACTTAGGAATTGCTCATCTGAACGGGCCACTCTGGCCCCACCCCAGCGCCCATGACAACAGCCCTCCTGCATCTCCAGGGGCTGTTAGGCTCTGTGAACTCCCCGGGGAGGGGGGGGTGGGCGGTGGCGCCTGCCTTCTCGGGGAAGCTGACCCACATCCGAGCAGGTCAGCAGCCCACAGCCTGGCCCTTCTCCAGAGGGGATTAGAGGACCAGAGCGCTGGAGGCCCGGCGATTCTGTCCGGGCAGACTTTGGGAAGAGGATCACGTGCCCTCATGAGGGGCAGCGTCCCCTGTCAGCCCCACTTCCTCAGTCAACACCCACAAGCCTGGCCACTCCAGCGGCTCCTCATCTCTCCCCCTTCTCCCGGGGCCAAGTTCCCATGAACCTCCCAACCACGAAAGAAAAAATCCTCCAATCGTGTAGCCCTCCTTCGCTTGGGGGGGTTGGGGCGAAATATAAGGGAACACCAAAGTCATCCAAAATTCTTCGGCAAGGGCTGACTTAATTCAGCCTTGTAATTAAGTTTTGTTTTGTTTTTTAATACATACCAGGCCAAATCTTGATCACCCTAGTTTTCTCCCAAACTGCGAACAGATGGGCCAACGCCCTGCCTCTTTCGTCGGTTTCTGTTTCCCCCTTTCCCGCCACCTAAACCCCATTCAGCACTGCACAAATGGGTGCCCTTCAGATGCAGAACCCTGAACCTTAACTGTCCTACTGCCCCGTGGGAGCAGGCTGCCTAGGCGAGACCCCTGAACCTGCCCCAACCCCTGCGGCCCCCTGAGCAAGGAACGTGGCTCCTGCCCGGGGTGCCTGCGTGAGAAAATCCCAACCTGAATTTCACTCACACAAAGACGTACTGAGTGCGGCGAGCCGGCATTCCTCCCTAGGCTTACGTACACCCAGTGAGTGCACATGTCCCACAGACAAGAACGAGAACCTGCACGGCAGCCCTGTGTACATGGCAGAATTATTTTTTGGTGTGGATACATAAATGGGGATACGTTCAAATGGTGGACCCCTACACAGCAGGGAAAAAGAACACAGTACTGCTAGTCACAGTCTGGACAAATCTCACAGTTTGTTCTATAGGACTCCATTTCTGTAAAGGTCAAAACCAGGCACAAAACTAGTCAGTAGTGATGAGGTGCAAGTAATGGTTACCTTGGGAGGAGGCCGCAGGGAGCCTTCTGGGCCCTGGGCGTGTTCTGCAGCTTGATCTGGACATGATTTATATGGGTATTTACGGATGTAAAAACCCCCTGGGCTGTAGGTCTAAGACTAGCGTACTTTAGTAGTACTAGTATACTCTAACTAAAGTAAGTATACTTTAAAAGTATATTTACCTTTGAGCAGCCTCTGTATGCTAAGTCCAAAGGGTATTCTCAGACAAGACGCTGATCCCTTAAGAGCTTACAGTCTGGTGGGGAAGAAAATACACTCAAACACTACAAGGCTGCCCATGGCCAGTGGGACAGGTAGTGAGCGTCAGCCCAGGGTATCAGTATCACTCATGATTTGGGGGGAGGAGACAGAAAAAAACTGATTAAATGCAGGGTTTGGAGGTAGCCGGACCAGTGTCCAAATCCAGCCTCTTGCTGTGTGACTGGGACAAGATGTTGGCCCCAT